TATGAACTGCTTTATATAATACAGTAACTGAGCTATCATTTGACAGTATTTTCCTGCTAATTCAAACGAAAATGCGAGTCCCAGGAAGTAACTGAGAAGATGCTTATGTGGTCTTTGGGATGAGAACTTCATTTTTCTGACGTTGAGGATCCCTTCGCAATTCCACCCTTAGTGACAGTAGCAGAAACAGGTAGTTAATAAACAGTAATTGCAATATTTATAGGATGCAGCCGCTATGCTAATTTATACCCGGGACAATTAATAGTTCATCAATTTCGTGGAAAATTGCCTGTTTATGCGCTAATTGCTTGATCACTTGTATGCGAGTCGTGATTTGCTGAATTTCCATCACCCGTGCGTGATGACTGCCCGGCCATTAGGTTCTCTGGTGCAGGCGTTAGAAGACGTGTTCGCCTGTACGCTCCTCGAATAGTGAATTGTTTGGATCAAGCTGATACTCATCACCGAGTATGGGTTGGGCAGGTCGTTGTTACCATGATTCAAGCAATTGTCTTGGTGTTACCAGACGCTTACTAATATTGGAGATTGTATTTAGAAAACGCGAAGAAATCCCACTTGGAGTAGCATCACACAATAGAGCTGCTACTTGAATTGGAGCAAAAAAAACAAGTTTCCAGAATTTGCCACCTTTGGATGGAAATAGGTAGCACAGGTCATCGTGGACGACATTCCGATCGGGACATAGTACACCTACCTGGAAGCAGCCTATATACGGCGATCAGAAGCCAACCCATTAAATAATTGGAGCATGTGGTTAACCTAACTTTACCGTGTTAACATTCGGCTCTCTGATTTACAAATTTCCCTGCCCACCTTTTCGGTTTAACATTTTTACTCACTCTTACTTTCCACAGTGTTTTAACATGCCTACTTTACTGATAAGCCTTCGTGACCAGGTTCTACGTCCTAACCCACCTTTTCAGTGCGAATTAAATTTTATATTTTCTTATGAGTTGCTCACGTTATGCATCGAGAGAAAGCAGCTGATGGACACTCTCGAACTCTATAGATCCAGTAAATTTTGCTGCTTGTGGAATCTTCAAATTTGCTCCAGGAAAAAGATGCTTTAAATAGTAATAATACGTTTTCTGGACGTCACAAAACGTCAAAAAGAAACTCGGATATTTTTTGCTGCCAGATTTACACCCAAGCTTCTGTGCGCCCGTTTACCAATAAAATGCATTTATTTTTATTTTAATGGACTCACTTTAGGAATTTAAACTCGGAACATACTGAAATGGCTCATCAAATCTCAATTCAGCGAATGTACACCATGCATGGGGCAAAAATCACGTTCAGTGGTCATCGCCGTGACTTTATCCCAATAGGTCGACCTTAGGCCTTGAAAGCTTTACTTCGATAGGATTACATGTATGGCGACCTAGACAGGACACGGGACCAGGAACAGCTCACAATACATGCGGCTTTAAGTTCCGGGGAAATTCGATTTAGAATTAAGGTAAACGTGAGGGCTAATTTCATGCTTAGCTTTAGGGTTGGATTTGGGATCAGGATTGTGTTAAGGGTTAAAATTCGGGCTTGCATTAACTGCAGGGTTTGGGGTTGGCGTACAACAAAGGTTAAGGTTACAGTTTATATTTATGTTAGGATAAGTGTTGGGGTTAAGACGGCAATATTTGCCTTATGAAGTGTATCGCAAGCCGCCTAGTTTAAGTGAGCGGGACGTTTCTGTTCCGTTTTAAACGGCCATACAATCCATCTTTAACCTTTACGTTGACATATAGGTTCTTATGAAAGATTTTTCCTACTCTGGTCTTTACATATGGAGTGTTTAAAGGGATAAGTTCGTCCACTACGGAAAGTCAGAATGTCAGTTCACTTAAAAAAATATACTCCATTGTAGTTACATGTGCATTGTCCTGGTGGGTACGCCCATCTGCTTGAACGCTTAATGCAAATAAACGTTCTCGTTACGGTTATAACCGGCGGAATTTTATTTTCTTTCTGCTCTGGTCATTTTAGTGAGTAAGGGTTTTCGTGCCGATAGCATCCTTAACTATCCATTTTGACAACAATAATTCGACGAAATGCAAGTTTTCCATTTGCGGTAGGATTGACGATGCTCAGAATTGAATTAATGGCAACAGTAGTTTAAGTAGTACACCACATTAACCGCTAGTCCCAAAAGTTTGTCCTACGGAAAATGTACTTATAGGGGTTTTATGCGAAAGAAGTAGGAGGAGCAGTGAAATATACTCTAATAACCGTTATAAGCATTTTTATTTTAATGTATTTATTGATGTTGTTGCTTTATATCTGTAGATTTTTTTAATATGCATTACCGTTTAACGTAGTGCGGAAAAACCCGACTACCAAATTGCAGGTTTCTTGAATTACCCGAAAAATTGAAATGGTGGTTAGGAGGTCGTCTTCTTCAACTTACCTGTGTTCTAACTTACCGTTCCGGAGTTAGATTAGCAAAGTCCGCGGCGCGAAGCGCCACGCATACCTTCAATTTACATGCGGAACAACTTACTCCCAGTGGCCACGGGAACCAAATTCAACTACATTTTACACTTTACAATTACTTCTAAAAATTTCTTTCACTGTTTATCCTAATTCCTCACGCCCCAAACCCCTATAACCACCGTTTCTGTAGGACAAAATGCTGAAACTAGGGGTATATGATTTGCACTATTTAAACTAGTTATCTTCCAGTCGATTTTCAGTTGCAAATGAGGACCGTATGTTGGTGTAGGTCACTATCTAATCATAACAAATGTGCATATGCATTTACATACTTAAACCCCCTAAAATCGATTAACAAGTTAGTGGGCGTGACTGCACAGACAAGAAATTAACTTCAAAAGTTACGGTTTTTAACCATAAGGACTTTATGTATAAAGACCGTTGTAGGAAATGTAAGGCTGAATCATGATTGCACTTCGAAATGCTAATATAATGCGCATAGTATGCCGGCCTGCGTTATTCGGGCAGCCTAAAGTGCGGGAGGAAGTGCTAGGGGCGGCCTCGGCCGCGCCAGCCACCTGCTTCTCCACCCTCACATCCGTTCTTGACTTTGTCTTGGCACCGGTCACAGTTTGCGAAGTGGGGACAGGCAGAGAGACGTAACGCAAATTTTGCTTTACTGTACTCCAAGGCAAGTAACCGCCCCTGCGCCACGTGTTGTAGTGCATATGATGGACATGGTCGAAACAGACGATCTAACTGTCGCTAAGTCACAACATCTGTCAAGCTTTATTCCGTAAACCTGCCTCGCAGTGTGTAAAAACGAAGTTTGACCATTGTGGAAACGGTTCTAGTTGACTATTGCCTCATTAAAAAGTTAACACGACCTTTAGAATTGTGTAAGTCTTAACTAACTACCGAATGCATGAGCACAATACCCCCCTTCCCGTCCTAAAAACCTCAGTATGCCAGTATACGTCATGCTATAATTACATGCCACTTGACTCCATGGAAGAGGAATTCTAATAGGCTGACGTTCGCGTGTTGCACGCAATGTACCAAGATCAAAACGGTCACTTTCACTACAGACATTAGACACAGTAATAAATAACGGCTTTTTATGTTCTGTTACTGTCACGGGATGAACGTTTTTGAGTTCAAACGAAAGAGACGTCTTTCACTGCCAATCAGTCAAACCAAAGGTAATGTGGGCGTCAACCATCAGACGATATCTCTAGGAATCCGTCTGCCTTTTTAGAATATTACGCTATAACAGTCCTACTTTATTACGTAGGAGTTCAATGTACGGCTCAGAAGATTTGAGTGATTCAAATATGGGAGAAGTATTTTAAAACCTAGCAAAGACAGCCTTATCTCAAAACTCAATTTTTAAGAGCACTTTAATGAATTTTATTTTTCAAAGATACTTCGTAAGAACAACGAGGGCTACCAGATAAGATCAGTCATTTTTAGTACTTCCCGTTGTTCTTCGTCCTATTTACGACAAGAAGCCCTCAGAAACCTTATCAAATCCCGAAATCCCATCTGAGAGCTAGAATAATCGCATCAAAAGACTCAGAGCTGAAGAGGCTATGGTGGCCGACGGAAAGATGACACGCCATACCGAGTACAGAAATTAATCTTTATGGGAATTAAATAGCTAAAACATGAGAAACTGGTATAGCTCCCAGAAATAAAACAGGGAAAGTTGGGGACCTACTGATGAGCCAGAACCTTTGCGGCTGTGTCAAGCAGCAGTAGAATACCGAAGAAACACGTGTCTGTGATTTGTCTAGGATTTGTGCTGCTGGTATGGTACATTACATACTAGAGGATATGTATATAACGCGCTTAACCCACAGTAGGTGATGGAGATTGGCTCCAATATATAGATTTAATATCTTTCTATACTTAAAGTCCGAAAGCAAAATGACCTTTACCGAGCACATAAATTAATTTTTAAGGAAATTAAAAACCTGAATTAGAATTGCGCTGTATACTGCTCTCAAATTTGTGCTATAAGTTTAAGCTTCTGAGGTCCGCTCGCTACTCTCCTCGTG